TCGTGTGTCCAAAAAGGTTTGGACGGTGCATCTCTGATTTCGTGGATGATATGCTTTCCAAGTCACTGGATGCACAGAGAGAGGATGAGAACGGTGGAAGAGATTCAAGGTCACTTCTTCCAGGAGCCCCAAGAAATTTCACTGGATCTACGGATAGAAAACAGAGATTTCAATCAGAGACTTCAATCAGTGTTGTTATTGTTTAACCAAAACTATTAAAAATCATTTTCAGTAATTGAAATAAAACTACTTTAAAACAAAAGTAACACTTTACAGTAATTACTTAATGCTGGTTAATGCATTACCTAACATTAATGAACAATGCGCAATGCATTTGACAGAGAATTTATGAATCTTTTTTAACATTAGTGAATAAATGCAACTGTTCATTGTTTACGTCAGCTTAAGTTCATAAGATATTAACATATACAACTATTGATCTTTATGTAGAAGTTAGTAAATGTTGAAATTAACAAACTAAAAATTAGTAAAACCTTTAGAAGCATTTTTCAATGTTAATGTAGTTAACTAATATTAACAAATGCTACCAAAATAAAATATAAATATTAGACGAAAAACTTGACCTTGCATTGGAAATAAACTGAAATAAGTTGAAGTACTAAATTACTAACACTGAATTAAGAATTAATTAAAGCTACATAGAAATATAATAAAACTACTAAAAATGACAAAACACGTAACACAATTACTAAAATGAAGCTAAAAATAGAACTGAAAATACAAAGAAAAAAAAAGCTCATGTAAAATATTATTAATATTACATAAATAGTACCAAAATAACACTGATTTTTAGACCAGTAAGTGTAACATTATTTAACTGTTATGGCTAATAAATGGCAGATATTAAAATTCTGTAATGTTTTGTCAAAATAAATTACATAAAACTAATCTGAAAGTTTTAAAAGCTGTGAATGTAGACATTACAACATAATGCATGAAAAATGGATTTTGTTTTTGAGATTTGCTTAAGACTCCACTTTTAACAGTGCCATTATAATAAAGAGTTTTTAAAGACAATGGCAAAGGTAATAAGCATGAATAATTAAATACACAATATTGAGCGATACGGATAAATTCTACTAACAGCTGACAATCGATACAGTAGCGATAACATGCATCTCAAATTTTTGGTGTCTAACCACTGTATACTATTAAATGTAATAACATCTGTAAGTGTAAAATCTAACTAGTGACCAAAAAGTGCTTGCATAACTTGTGTTACACAAAGTGAGGCAATGTTTAAATGGACATTAACATACCACATGATCACATGCGTCCATCTCCTCCCAGTCCTGGATGCGGTCCGGACAGCTGCATTTGAGTGTCTCCAGCCACCCCGGACACTTTCTCCTCTTCACGTCGCTTCAGACATGCCGCTTTTGGGTTCAGGTTGCGTTCTGGATGAAAAAGAATGTAATTACAAAATTAAGGATTGATTCACTTAAAGGGAAGTCCAATATTCAATTTTAGGAAAGTGTAACTGTTCATTTATTAAAAAACATTTCATTGATAAAATAAGCCTTCTTCTAAATGTAAAACCTTTTAAAATAAATTTTCTGTTAATATATACAAGGCCAAGTGGACAGAAAAATTTATATCAATCAATATTATTACAGCCTAACATATTTCAATTCTCAACGGATAAAATTAAAGGGGTCATATGATGTTGCTAAAAAGAACATTATTTTGTGTATTTGGTGTAATGAAATGTGTTTATGCGGTTTAAGGTTCAAAAAACACATTATTTTCCACATACTGTACATTATTGTTTCTCCTCTATGCCCCGCCTTTCTGAAACGCGTC